CTTCCAGCTTGTGATTCTTCCAGCCTGGCATTTCTCATGATGTACTCACATGCACATCTACATATGCACATATACACTTGGAAGTGAATAATCTAGGAGAGTATCCGAGTACACATGTAGAAGACTGTATTGTAAATTATTTTTAAAAACTGCAACCAGACATAGAATAAATGATCTTTTATAATTACCTGTGGTGTTTGTAACATTGTACTGAACCGTTATAAACATGATGGCATATTTGGATGTAACCTAAAATTTAAAACAAAGAAAAAAATAAGTTATCAAGCTCTATGCTATACATTTTTCCACAGTTGCTGTTAAGATTTACATTTATTATGAATGTTGCAACTATCTAAGTTTCAATCTTGTAGAATTCATCCCAGCAGTGATGAAATTACTATAGCCTAACTAAACTGCCAAATTAAGAACTGAACAAGACTGAAGGTAACACTATTGATAACTAAAGGACTAGGTACAGAGGCCTAGTCAATCGTGATCTCAGATCACAGTTTACTTCCCAGTTTTGGAAGGCCCTCTTCCAATTATTAGATATTAAAATTCATTTGTTGCCCTTGCATCATCCAGCATCAAACAGAGAGTGAACCAATTATTAAAGCAATATTTAAGGTGCAACATCTCTTACCAAAAAGACAGCTGGACAGAGCTGTTGCCCCTTGCAGAATTTGCCTACAACTCAGTACATTCCTTCATCTGCATGTCTCTATTTCAGGTGACTTACAGCTACCACCTCTAAATGTTGGCCTCTACAACTTCTGAATGTGCAGTTCTTCAGGCCTCAGATTTCCTGTAGGAGAAACAAGAGGCTTGGTACCTCTTAAAGGAACAACTGGATCTGGCAAAGGCAGCATAAAAGTGGGCTGCAGACATACACAAACAAGAGGGTGCTAAAATTGCTAGAAGGAATTTGGTATGGCCTTCTATAACATTTTTGTCTTCCGCCCAACCTTTCAAGAAGCTAGGCTCATAGCAGCCCCTGCCTAGTGGAAATAAATCCAGAGCCTTTGTTTTCAATTGCCAGCATCAGCGAAGATTCATCTTGATTTCCACTGATCATTGCTTGTGCAGGATGTGCCCCCCTGCAGTTTAAGGAACAGAATAGCTCCATCCCCTCTATCTTGGATGGGGAGGAACAGCACGAAGTGGAGGCTATCCTGGACTCTAGACATTTATCTATCCTGGGCTCTAGAAACGTTTGGAACATGTCATTCAGTGGCAAGACTACCCAGAGTCAGAGGTTGTGCGAGAATACAACAGATGTGGACACCCCAGAACTTATATGCCAGCTTCATCTGCAATGCCCAAGGAAAGGCCATCTATGTGAACTGCAACCATTTACAAAAGACATGGACGTCCCAGGATGAACAATGCTTTGAGTTTTCTGGAGTGGAGGGGTCACAGAGAAGACAGGGCACAACAGGGGGAATGGGAAGCTTCTCCAGCTCCATCTACTTCTGGCTACAAGACTGGTGGGATAGGATAGAACAGTGAGAAAGGGTTGATGAAACTCAGAACAACAGGAGGGAGGGGGAGGGGGAAGTAACTGTTCATTGTACAACTGCATTACAGGACTCGTATAAAGATCTAGGGGAATTGCCAGTAGAGGAGAGCAGCAAATCTGCAGTTTGTTCCCATGATTGTTCAGTTTTCTAGCCACGCAAGAGGAGGGACTGAGGCTAATGGGTGTGTGTGCGTGTGTGTGTAGAGAGTAAAGATGACAACCTTGACAGAGATATGGTGGGTTAAGTGATGCTCTGACTGCCTTTCTCGGTGCCTGGAGGCTGTTGAGGTCTGGATGGGGAGCAACAGGTTGAAACTGAACCCTGGCTTTGGATTCAGGGATCCTTGGTTCTGGGAGAATTACCATCTTTGGTCATGGATGGGGTAGCACTGCCCCAGACGGACCTGGTGCACAATCTAGGGGTTCTCTTGGACTCACGACTCCTGCTCAAGGAGCAGGTGGCAGTTGTGGCCAGGAGGGCCACAACTGTGAGTGGTGCGTCAGTTGCGCTCATTCCTGGACCAACACGCCCTTCTCAGAGTTACCCACACCCTAGTCACCTCCCACCTGGACTACTGTAATGCACTCTACATGAGGCTGCCCTTGAAGAGTATTTGGAAGCTTCAGTTGGTTCAAAATGCAGCAGCCCACACAGTTCTGTGCAAGTCTAGATTTGTGCATGTATCACCTCTTGTGGGAGTTGCACTGGTTGCCAATTTGCTTCTGGGTCCAATTCAAGGTGCTGGTTATCACCTTTAAAGACCTACATGGTTTGGGACCTGGTTATTTGCAGGAGCACCTTTCCCCAATTACATCTACCCTGCCCACCAGAGTGAGTCTGGGTATGTTGCAGGTCCCATTGTTGAGGGAAGTACATCTGATGGGACCATGAAGGGCCTTTTCCGTGATGGCTCACTCCCCATGGAATATTATTCCCTCTGAGATAAGATTGGCCCCCACCTTGATGTTGTTTCAGAAAGCCCTGAAGATATGGTTTTGCCAGCAGGCCTTGGGGACCCCAAGCTGAAAAGGAGCAAATCAAGTGGTTGTGCTGTGTTTTTGGCTGCTGTGGGGTCGGGTGAGAGTTGATGGTTTTTTTGTATTGGGGATTTTATTTTGTAAGCTGCCCGAGTCACTGTGTATGAGTTGGGCACCCATATCAATTTGATTGATTGATTGATTGATAGATAGGCTCCACTGCTTTGGCAAATGGGGCTAAAGCACTTTTTAAGTCCAGAATATTCAAATAACATTAGGAAGTGGCCCAGACAGACACCTCCCTAATTCACTATAAGAAGGAAGAGGTACAGCACAATCAGACTTGCAAGATTCTGTTATTATAGCCAATCTCCATGAAAGTAGTTTTAGCTGTCCTGTGGAATTGATTTCCTGGTCTGGTCTATTTAGTATGGCTGACACTTTCTGAAAGGCCTTGAAAACCTTGGGCCTTGGGGTAGGGTGGATGGCAATTGTTTGGGATGTTGCCTACATTGTTGTGCTATCTGGATTATCATCTTGTAATTATTCTGTAATTCTTTTTGGATTGTTATTGTATTTCTGTTTACTCATTATTTTTTATGTTGCTTTTTAGTTTGTGGGCTGTCCAGAGTCAATTGGAGTCAGGCAGCATCAAAATAGAATAAATGATAAAATAATTTTATTGTGGAATCTGGGCTTCTAAATATTGGCATGTGCGCTCTATATACATATTGGAGAAACTGTTTTATAGTTTATTTGTGCCCAAATATTCATCATATTCTTTAGATTTCTTTTTAGAGGGTCAATACCATTTATTATAAGGTAACTAAATATTATTTCAGAAAAGGCTGCTAATGCAATTGCAGAGGAGGTAGATGCAATAAAGGCACAATTCAAATCCATGTACCAAATTATTTTATAAAGCGAAATAGCTTTTTATACAATTTTAACTGAAAAATGAGGTACTTGTGCTACTTTAAATGTTACATATTATTGTACTTATATCCTAGATTTTTGGGTGAGTGCCTTTGAGTCAGTGTTGGCTCCTGGTGACTGTCTCAAATAGTCCTTGCAGTTTTCTTGGCAGGATTTTTGGAAGTGGATTGCCATTGCCTTTTCCTAGGGCTTACAGAGAAATGACTGGCCCAAGGTCACCCAGGTGGCTTCATGCTACTGGCAGACCTAAAACTCATCATCTCCTGCTTTCTAGGCTGTTGCCTTAACCACTACACCAAACTGGCTCTCTTATATCCTAGATTACAAGACTGATATTAATATTGCTATCTACAAAATCCATCCTCCTTGAGAAAAACTATGCTTTCCCTGAAACAGATTGGGCAGTTTTGGTTGGCACTGAAACTACTGTAATTGGCAACTATGAGGTATGAGTGTCCCCACTTCTATTACATCTTTGTCAGAATGCCAAGGGGAAGAGTGAATGTTATAAATGACCTATCGTTTGTGAATGTGTCCAAAATTACCATGAAAAATGTGAAATTCTGAGTCACTCCTGACTGAGCAATCTGTAGGAGTTAATCAAGTAAAAGGTACACAGATAGAAGAATTTACTATATTGTCCTGGTCACTCAACTGCACCACCACCTGTGAAAAATCAAAAGACTGTTGGATGAAGATTTTGATCACATAGCATTCTTCACACATTGCTACTCTTCCATATTCCTTCCTCCCAGATCTAGCCTGCTATTCCACAAAGTAATCTAATGAACAGAGCCGGGCAAGAACTTCTCCCACATCCTGTGTTACGTAACAGATTAGTGTTTTCATCCAGATTAATTCCTGGAAGGTAGAATTTCTATTAGCAACTCACTTGGGATTAAAAAAAAAACCAAGAAATTACTATGACTTCCTGCTATTTCACCCAAAAAGGAGAAAAATCAGTTAATTTTTACTCATTTTATTGCTATAACCAAATTGAAATCTCCCATCATAGTTGTACTTGATAGTACTGTACTCATCAAGTCACTACTAAGCCACTGTTCCCTCTTCTCAAGCACATTCCTGAACATCAGGCCTGTCTAAAATCAGCTATGTATCATTTTTCTCCAAAAAGCTAACCCATCCCTACTTACTCAAAGTTAGTGAGGCAGCTTCAGCATCCTTAAGATTCTTCTAAAATGGCAATGCCATTAGTAACAATAAGTAGACTCAGAATTTTATAGCTCCCAGTTCATTAGTAGGCCAACAATTTAGACAAATTACAAAAATCTTGACTCAACTGATGTTTGCAATAGTTTTTGCAAATAGCTTGTTTGAAAGAAATAACCTAAAATAAACTCATAGACAAGTAGCAAGGTTATTCATGTACAAACTCAACCTCTGGATAGGTTACAATTGTTTCTTTAAGCAGCTGCACAAGCACATACTCTTTACATTCATGCTTGAATATCTTCAATTATTCATACACAATTCTTCAAAGTTTATTTAAAACAGAAATGAATTATGTGCTCAGGAAAGGTATGAAAGGCAAAGAGGACTGAAGATTGGCTTTTTTTTTTTTAAATGGACTAACATAATCCTCTCTTGAACAATCCATGCTTTGAATTTTAGTGATTGTGGCCATATTGAATTTTCCATATAAATAATCTTTTTTTTAATCCACATGCCATATATCTGTAGAGATTTTATTATTTGTTTTACTGAAAGCCCTCACTAGGGTCACAATGGGCATTTGTCGGATATACTTACTTTTTCACTGGAATTCCATCCAAAGGGCCAATGAGCTAATTTCCCCCCTCCTTCAATTGACTTCTTCTTTTTCCCTGAACTATCTGCAATGATCATATTTATATATTGTGCTATTACTTCTCTTTCATTGATGTGTATCAATTCCTCCACTCTTGGACTGGGCTTCAGACACATTCTGATTTGGAATTCATGAGAAATACTTAGTCTTTTGTTGAATTATATGGAAAGTTACCTATTCCTTAGTTTCAACTGTTAGTCATAGAGGTTTACATCTAATTAATTCACAAATATCAGAAGGATCCTATTTCTTCTTGGAATAACATCTGTTATGCATACATGTACGTGCAACTGATCATGTAACACAATACTATCGGCCAATAAGCAGATGGAAAAAAAAATCAAATCTGTTAAAAGTTGGAAGATCAAATGGCATGCAGTGTTTCAGCAAAGTATGTACACACATACAGTAAATAAAAACACAATGGCTGTGAGCCACCCAGAGTTCTGGTTCTAGGATGGGTGGCCATACAAGTGTTACAAATGAGTAACAAAAAAATAAAAATGCAAACATTCTGCTGCTACTACTACAGGTCTTGAAACTTTTTGGACTAGAATCATTTCGAATGCGGAACACATTCTGGGTACTTCAACCGAATGTCTATTGGGACGGTTTTCCCATACCCAAATGGGAAAGAGAACCAGTTACAATGACTACTTGCAATCCCTTCTACCAGAATGTTCTTTGCTACCACTGCTCACATTATTTTTCTGCATAGGTTGCATAATTTCAAAAACACCAGGCTATAGATCCCTCAGTGATATTTATATTTAAATAAATGGCCTCAAAGCATCATTGGCAATAAAGTTTCAACCATTCTTTGTGACATGTCAATTTTCCTTTTGTTTAATCAAAATAATTTCTCAAAATAAACCAAAAAGTTAGAAGGGCCAAAGTGATCAATGGGTATCAAAGGAGGTGTCTATTGACACACTGAGTGCTATTTTGGGTAACCCAATTCTATTATGATGGGAACCAAATAGTCTACTGCAGGGGTTCCCAACCTGGGGTGCCCACACCCCCAGGGGGTGTGAGATGGAATTTCGGGGGTGTGACAATTTTATGCACTGAGTTAAAAGCTTTTTTAAGTTCAATTTGTTCATCTGCATTAGAAATTAGACTTCATCTTCAAATGTGATATTACTTTTGCAGGCGGTGCGAACATTTATCAAACATTTCCTAGGGGTATGGGGCATAGAAAAGACTGGGAACCACTGGTCTACTGGTTAAAGTATTAGATGGAGATTACTAAGTAACTTTGGGTCAGTCATTTTCTTATCCCAATTTATCTCATGTTTGGGGATAAAGTAGAAAAGATATCCCATTATGCCAACTTGAGCTCCCCCCCAAAAAAGTTGGAATAAAAAACAATTTATTTGTCTTGCACTAACACAGAACTGGATTCATCTAGATCAGTGGTTCTCAAAGGGAGTCCCCGAGACCCTTTCAAGGGGATATGCGAAGTCAAATAAATAAATATTTTAAAATGTCTGCTTTAGTTCCTAATACAGTAAATACTGATAGATATAACCCACATAAACCAAAGGTCTTTGGGGTCCTCAATCATTTTTAAGAACATAAAGGGGTCCTGAGACCAAACTGTTTGAGAACCACTGATCTAGATCAATCTCATCAAATGTAGGAAATTTATATCTCAGTGTTTCCTAACACAAATGCATGGATGTTAATTCCCTGAATTCTCCAGCCAATATAGCCATTGCTGAGAATCCTGGGAGTGAAGTTCACACAATGTCCAAGTTAAGACTGCTTTAGTTTCTGCTTAAAAATGTCTAACAAAAGAGAATCTACCAGCAAGCCAAAGCCTTTCTTTTCATCAGAATCTTGCTCCATCTTCTATGTGGCAGCCAAGAGTCAGCATCTGAAAAGGTTGCCAATCCCTGTGATAACTCTTCAAATATTTTATTAGGTTCTCCAATTGTATCTTTATTTCAGTCCTTCCCAAGCTAAGTTTAATTCCTTCAACAGAATGATGTCTGGATTCCTCAACACCTTTTTTGCTTTACTCCAGATATGGTCCAGTTTGCATTTTAAGAAGGATATCAACAATATCCAATGTGGTAAAACTGAACTTAAATATACAATAAGTTTCAAATTAATAGTGAGGGAAGGGGAAACCTTCAAACACACAATTCAAACCAGCAGGAAAAGCCTCAAAAAGACATGGTTACATATATAAACCAAATTCATTGTATATTTATCTTCCTATTAAGTTTTCTACAAATCCTAGCATTGTTCAAGGCTTCATTTTTAATTAATTAACCACTTACAATGACTTTTTATTTAAAGAAACTAACTTATCACAAGTGTGGCACAGTCAGTCCATATTTAATATTTGGGTATTAAACTTCTTCCAATTCTATTCTGTGGCTTGATGACTCAGGTAATGAATATGCTTATGTAAATTTGGAAACCCCTGAGACTTGACTGTTTATAAGCTTATTAAGAGCAAGACATGAGACTGTCATTGTCATAGGGTATGCAACTGGATAAGTATTTTGCATCTTGTATCTTGTTAAGATTAGTCTCTGGCAGTGAAATGTGTAAGCAAACAAAAGTCCAGTTAATTTTTAATATCAGCATTAACTCTTCTATATACCATTGGGTCTATAAGAGATTTCTCATATCTTGTTCAGAATAAATATGGACAGAATGCCAAGAAATGCAGAAGCTCTTTAGTGGAATTATCTAATCACTAGTAGCTATCAAAGCTATTAAGATCAGTGGTATGCCTAATGCTACTGCTTATTCATAAGGACCAAACCCAAAGCACAATCACTTAGCCCAGTAGAAGCAATATCACATTTAGATTGTTTATTATGCTTAACTTACAATCTATAAACTCTTCCTACTAAACTAGCCCACCTACCCAACTGCTTTGGGAAAGTATTCTGCATCTTCCCAGGACATTTTGTTTTTATATGAAATCCAGAACTGTGCTCCAGGGCTGAAAATCAGGACAGTACTAGGACTGAACTCTAGCACCGTGACCAGTTCTAAACAGAAGCGAAACAGGAGATAAGTGGGAAAACACCACTGAAAGGATGACCTGTACGTCCCACGTCATGATTTAATACGGTATTAAGCGAGACCCACTCCCTTCACTATAGAAAAACGAGAGACGCTTTAACCATTTTTCTACAATTATCTCAAATTGGTTTATGATATATTATTCCCCCCTCCCCACAGTAGCTTGGCTGGCTTGCACGAGTTATCTTCTCGGTGAGGCTGCCAGTTTAATTCCTCCGCCCTTTGGTGGCGAAGAAGAGGGAGAACCCGGCTAAGAATGCCTGGCGGCTACAGCCCAGACGTTGAACCCGGCATTGCCGAGCGCCATACAGCATACGTCTGCTCCTACTTACGTACGTCAGCACGTAAGAGTGGAGCGCGACCGTGAGAATGAGCAGCCAAAGGGAAAACAGTAACAGCACAGGAGGAAGCGCCAGAGCTTGAGAGAGAAGGGCGGGGCCGCACTTGAACGGGGGGGGGATGAAAGGGGGCGTGCCTCGAGCCCGCGCGCTGTCGCTTCGTCCCCGGCCCTGTATAGTAATGATACCTCGAACATGAGCCCCAACAGGAGGCCCATGGCCAGGCAGGACACGGCATCCGCGTGGTTCTGGATAACGAACTCATGGCTCAGGACTGGCGGACTCTTGTTTTTCTTCCGCAGCCCCATAGCGGCAGAGGTTTCAGAGAGTGGGAAACTCCAGGACCCAAGTTGAGGGTGAAGTATGGATGAAGAGCTGCAGTTCCTCTACTCTCTCAACAATCCCTCGCTCTTCACCTCACACCCAGTAAACACCAGCGACTCTTGTCCCTTCCCCCCCTCCACAACTCTTATCCGCCCTGCTTTCCACGCTTGGCCAATCAACATGTGGGATAATAGTGACTGATAGTTTCAGCAGCTAATCGCTAGCCTTAAACGGGAGGCAAGCTTTCTAGGGGCGGAGTTCCAAAGAGACTCTGAGGCTGGTCAACGGTCGAAACGGCGGCGGGGGAGGGGGAAGAGAGGGTGCGTGTGAGTGGCGTGGATTACGGCCATTCAGAGGCCCCTAGAGGAGGGACCTATTAGGTTCCCTGAGCTTGTATTTAATTTCTCTATGGCTGTAGTGGAAACAAGATCCTGCGAGTTCTGCCTGGGAAGAGAAAGAGTATCAGGTATCGGGTTTTTTGGACTCCGTAGGTTTCTTGGATGTGCTGTTTTGGCGTTACAGTAGGGAGAACTTCTTTCAAGAAAGATGTCTGGCCCCGCTGCTGGGGTTAAGATCCTTTCTCAAAAGAATACTTCGTGGGCATGTTCGCACGACACCCTGAACTCCAAACAAGTCAATCCCATTTTAGTCTGGCATATTGGGTTAATCGTGCCCGTGCAGTTCCTTTATGGTTCAGCATCGTGTGAACCGAAATAATTAGGCTATTTAAGAGGCGATTAAGTTAAACGCAAGTGAATGTGCCTCCTGGATCGAAGCAAAAAGCGTATCGGAGGGAACCCTTCATTTATTTTTGAAAAAATTCACCTGACTCCAGTTAAGACGGCGAATCCTTAATGTAGTAACAAAGCATGGACTTTGCTTTTGGGGAGGGGAGAGAATAGGCATATCTAGCGGACAGAGGGAATTAAAAATACACATATCTTGAGTTGGCAGTGGGAAGAGATTTGCTTGCAAACTAAGAAAATCACTGCTACTCAGAGGCGGGTTTAAGGTCCTATTTATATTTAAAATCAAATGCTAATTTGATATAAGTCTGGATTCCCCCCCCCCCAACATTCCATGATTAGTTTGAAAAATAATTTTTAATTTAATTTATTATAAATGGTTTATTAAAGGGTTTGTTTTATTTTTATTT